AACTGAACAATGGGGTTTGACCGTCTCTTATAAAGCTTGTTTGTTTTGAATTTCGCGCAAAGCTACACGAGGGCTATCTGCGCTAGCCGTCCCTAATTTAGCAGTGTAAGACTAGAGGGAACGCAGCTAGCCATCACCACCCACCGCCAACTCTTGGGCTACTTTTTTACCAACGAATAGTGGGATTGACCGCACATTATAACGCCCCCACGGCTGAAAGGGCGAGCATGTTTGGTGTGACGGGGATTCGAACCCGCGACCCTCAGATTGCGAGTCGAGCGCCCTAACCACCTGGCCATGCCGGGGCCCTCTTATAAAGCATCCGCAGCCCCAGAGCGCGGGGCAATATTTTGCGGTAGTAGAACGCGAATCACGGAATTTTGGATTCATAGTTCTCCAAAATATGGTCCCACACCGAAATCGAAAGAAAGACAACTTTTAAGTATCTTGGGGAAATGGGTGGGTGGGTCCTATCGGTAAGAAATAACTCGTGCCACAGACTTAAAGTGGGTTGAAGAAATTTGACAACTGTTTTCTCAGTTTGGTAAATGTAAAGCTCCGTTTCCTGGATTGCGATCTCAAGTTTTCACGTTATGAGTATAGCTGGGCGTTTAGTGGTATTTGATAATCTATTACTTGACAAGTAAAAAAAAAAGAGGTCCCTCTAATTCAACACTTCCAAATTACAAACAAAAGGTTGGCGGTGGGTGATGCCAGTCAGTTGCCCTCCCTCTGGGAAACAGTTCAAAGCTAGTGTGAATGGCAGATGGCCTTAGTAGCTTTGCTACGCAAAGACAAAGCAAATAAGTTTGGTGGAAATATTAAAATTACTTGGTTAATTACAATAATCGTAAACACTAATTTCGGTTAGCTGATTATTTCCGTGACAATTGATATAACGAGATTTTCGATTAATCGATCAACTGAGGTGAAACTAATCGATTAAATCTCCTAGCTCTCATTATTTATATGCATTTTTTTTAGCAGTTTATTTGAAGAGGAAAAGTAATAACTTTAAAACTACCGATTTGTTTTCGTAGTATTCACTATAACGATAGGGTTCACGTATGTCTTGCCTGCTACAACATTCGGTGTAAAAAATAGAACAAACTCATTTCGTGAAATCACTCACATTCTGAATAAAATCCGCAGGAATGCCTAGAGATAATCAGTGGAGTTACTTGCAATACTGATGGTTTTTAGGCTTACGTTATTTTGCTTGGCTCGTATATAACATGAGATCCTGTAAACCAACAAATCTGTGGTCCTTCGAGCAACTTAAGGAATTAATAAATTAGAAAAATTAGTTTAAAAAGAGGATATAGTCTCTATCGGTAACTTTAGGGTTAAAGATGTTATTTCTTTCTCCTGGAACTTTGAAGTCAGCTGTTGTTACAAGAAAGCCAACCAGGCCATGTAACAGAGTAGAGAAGACGTGAGATTTATGTGTAAAACATGGTAACAATTATTACACATTATGGACACAGTTGCAAAGTAAATTCTGTAATTAAAGATAACAAATGTGTAGCCACGAGGCCCTAAATTAAAGAACACGCGTTTTAACACATGCTAGAACATGTGCTAAATCACTATACTGTAAATCAATTAAACAAACACAGTGCTACCTTGCAGGTCAACTACAGAACAAGGTACTAAATCACCATCTATACGCCAATTGAAAGACGTTGCATTCAATCGCAATATTGAAGGCCAATCAGAGAACACAGTGTTCAACACGATACTGTAGGCTAGCTAATTAAAGGACAGTACTCAATCACCATTACCAACCACGATACTGTGGACCAATTAAAGAACACCGTGTTAAATCACGATACTGTGGACCAATTAGAGAACAGTGTGTTAAACCACGATACTGTGGACCAATTAGAGAACACTGTGTTAAACCACGATACTGTGGACCAATTAGAGAACACTGTGTTAAACCACGATACTGTGGACCAATTAGAGAACACTGTGTTAAATCACGATACTGTGAGCCAATTAGAGAACACTGTGTTAAACCACGATACTGTGAGCCAATTACAGAACTTGGTTCTAAATCACGATACTGTGAGCCAATTGGAGAACACTGTGTTAAATCACGATACTGTGGGCCATTTACGGAACATTGTATTAAATCACGATAGTTTAATTCAATTTCACAATGTAAAACTGGACTTTTGCATGTTAATAACAAAACTTCTAATTGTCTGAAAACTTCAAAAATTTTTATAAGGATACAAATATTTAAAACACACATCAAAATCGAAAGATCTAATTAGTATCGCTCTTATACACGATTTAAAATTTTTCACTTTTGGGTAGTTTGAGACGTTTAAATAGTTTTTAATCTGTCACTCATTTACAATAATGTTCTAAACAAAAATATTATTAGAAATTTTCAGTGTGTTGATTTTGTATCAAACTAAATGATAAATGTGTTATTTCTTAAAATGATAAATAGGATGCATCTAACAATAAATGTGAGTCGTTGAAATTATGACACAAATGTCACACCCAAAGTTAATGATACCCCACCCAATTATTATAACAAAAGATGACATTTAATGAAATATAATCATGGCTTAGAAACACCACGGTGGTGCACGGACTCGTGCATCATCCTGTACGCTAAACGTATTCCATAAAATTAAACTCAAGTACGTCGGTTTTATTACTATTATTATTTACACGAAGAAACTGAAGTTGAGATTTTCCCCAAGTTTTATGTTTTTATTACCTACTGAAGTAACTAAGGGTGAGTTGGAAAGAATAGGATTTTTTTATCTAATTATTGATTAGTTAAAAATATATAATTAAAAATAAAGTTTAAATCCACTAATGTTGCGAAACAACAACGACAACAAAGTTTAGATCCACTGTCGTTATGAAACAACAACTACAATAAAGTGTAGATCCACTATCGTTATGAAACAACAACGACAATAAAGTGTAGATCTGCTATCGTTATGAAACAACAACGACAATAAAGTGTAGATCTGCTATCGTTATGAAACAACAACAATAAAGTGTAGATCCACTATCATTATGAAACAACAACGACAATAAAGTGTAGATCCACTATCGTTATGAAACAACAACGACAATAAAGTGTAGATCTGCTATCGTTATGAAACAACAACGACAATAAAGTGTAGAT